AGAGAGAGAGAGAGAGGGGGGGGGGGCATTAACACTATATCATACACGCACGGTATTTAGATACATAGATATTGTGTAAGCTTGTGCTGTTTGCGCGAGTGTATTCATAGAGGACGAATTGCTTCATGCTCGCTGATACAAATCAGGAAAAGACAGATGCAGTTTCTGAGACAGTTGAATATGCACCATGGCCTTGAACATCTGGCTCTCAGTGAAAAAATTGAAGGCAAAAGAGGCAGGGGTAGACCCAGAGCAACCTGCTTTGAGAGCCAAAACAACCTCTTTGGTCTAAACATAATGATGACCGAGAAAGATAGGAAATTGTAGCTTTTTTGAAGCACCCGAGCAAAGGAATGAATGGAAAACCATGGTCGCCAATTTCTGTTGCAGATCTGGCACTTGATAATGATGAAGATAATGATGGTGATGATTTGTGAGCAATGGAGATAATGGAGAAACAGTTAGGCCTAGCTCAGTGCTGGCTAAATACCCTCGACCGCTGCACTGAATTTGCTCGAACGTGAAAGTTTCAAAGCAATTGCCCACCACAGGCTTTCTGTGTACTGAGACACTCCACGGAACAGCTTATTTCAAGATGGCGACGTTACCTTCGTAAGTGTTTCTGCTTTTTGTTGTGGTTGATGGTTAGAATGTACTGTCCTTCTATGTAAAACTCAGACCCCCTCCTTTTGGTATAGATATCTAGATAATTACCTTAGCTTTCTGTCCATTATATCTTCTTGTATTCTTTTACGTTTTTACTTGAAGTGGAGGGGCAAACAAATTGCAAAAATCGAAGTGCGAAAGCGCCAACAAACTAGGCTACAAATTACTCTTTCTGAAGTCTTCAACAAAAGATTCTAATTCTAGACCCCATTTCTGGTCTTTAAGTCTACACTCAAGAGCTAGAGAAGCTACAGACAATGAGGACTTTTAAAATACTTCTTTTGACTTTTGAAAGAATTGTCTAGATTCTAGACAAAGTGACTTTATTCAGTCCATCCAAGTGAAAGTGAAGGGAGAATGAATGGAAATTTTTTACTTTTCAGTCTGCCGTCACTGTCTAGCTACTCCCACACTCAAGATCTGAGATGCATTGCTTACCAACTAATAGTTGGAGGGCTGCTAAGGTTAATCTTAACGAAGTGACTATTTGGACTCGAGTCCGAATTCCGAATATGAAAAAATGTTATTCGGACTCTGATTCTTGTCCGGCATGACATCACTTCCGACTTCCTGTGACTCTTGACTCCGGCTTCCTGTCTTGCCTCACTCGTGACTTGCCTCAGGCTGGGTAGAGACCGGGATCACTTCGGGCAAAAATGGCGTTTTGTGCAGGAGCCGAGTTTTTATCTTAAGATGAATTTGAGGCCGGCCTGAAAAGTAAAGCGCTTCTAAAATGTTTATTTGTCAAGAGGTCATCAGAAGCAATTAAAGATGGCTCGTTAGCGTGTGTCGGGGCTGGATGGGCGGCCTGCACACGTGTGGCTGTGTGCGTGTCGGGGAGGGGGGTGGGGGGGCACTATCGGTCCAGTCGTTGAACGTTGCATACGCGTCAGTCTTTTTTCCCCTCGGCAACTGATCATTATTACAATAATAAGCTAGTCTTGACGTAGATCTACGTAATGAATTGTGCGCTGGTCTATGGAATCAAAAGTTGCCATATGCTCAGCTCTACACATAGCAACACAACTTTTTCTTGGTAAACAATCGAGATGACACAGGCTTGTGTATTAGAACGAATCTGTCTTTTTTTTTTTACACAGCTCATAATATGCAGGTGCCAGGTGGTCTGCTAATCTTCAATTTTACCTTTTCCTACAACAAAGAAAGTGAAACATTTTCCCCGTCCGAGAGTACGTTTCACGCGAAAAGCCGGCTATGGCGGCAGGTGGAAGTGTATGTGACACCAAGGCTTGATCGGGAAAATCAAGATCTACTTTCGCTTTCGTTACCCCACCCTGAAATTGAGTGAAGATAAACTGATAACGCAACATTTGTAATATGCAGGTTGTACAGTATAAATGCTGTGTCACCGTGCAAATAAAATTTAATAATTACTTGGACTCTTCACCATGCTGTCACTCGTGTGTGTGTGTGGGGGGGGAAAAGAAAATACAAGCTTCGTCCAATTTTTAGATTGTCGGGTTCGCCAACGTTACAGGTCAGTGGACCTTCACGCGAGGCACTACAAGGTACGGCATCGGTGAGCACCGGTGTTTGTTGGGGTCGCCAAAGTTCATTAAAAAGTCTGAGCGTTGCGGAGTATAGGACTATGGAGTAGGGCAGGGATCATTGATTTTTTTTTTAGAGATACACTGGGGGGAGGGAGGGAGCGGCTGAAGACAACACCAGAGGACAAAAACTGTAAGCAAATAATTCAGAATTTTGATTAGATTTAGAGCCCTCTGCAAAGCGCGCGTTGGTGCAGGCCTTGTGTGGAATCGGGATCCTTCATACCTTGTAAGCCGTGTTATTGAAATGAAGTGTTCGCGTTTCTTTTGTTGGGTGATAGTAAATTACAAAATATTGTAGCTTTCTGTTCAAGACTGGCAGATTTTCAGTGTCACTGCCTCTTGCCCTCTCACAGTTCTTACACCTCTCACACTGAATAGATTTACTCGAGTCATTACGTGTGTGTGTGCGTGTGCGTTGTTGTTGTGTAACATGGCCCTGGAAAATGGAGAAGGCGGTTTGGCAGTCACCCTGTGTGTACACATTAGGTATAAATCTACCCCCCCCCCCTCCCTCCCATCACCACCAGGGCAGTGCTACTGACTGAAACGTCTTTAGGCCATTCCCAAAGGGAGGATGTTAACATGTTCTTATGCACAGTAGAATTGTAAATACGGACTGATTTATCAATGTCATGCTCATACTCATACTGTGCTGGACCAGCATAGGGGGAACTGCTGCCTTTTCTCTCCTCTTCTTTACTATCTTCATTTTCCTCTACTTCTTTTGTGTATGTTTGTCACGCTTTTGAACTACTATTTCCGGGGTGCCTTGATAGTCGAAGCTTGATTCCCTGTTTAGACTTCTCTGTTGACATCCACCCCTTGTCGCTCATATCACCTAATTGCGAGCGCCGTAAAAACTTTACTAAAACTAAATCTAGCTGCGAGCAAGCTTGTGATTGTCTGTCTATCCTCCATTTTGTCGACTGGACTTTGTTGTGTGTTCTAATTTGGGGGCGATGAGAAGAGAGAGATTGATCTTCACTTTGCAGACTTCCGTCAGTGAATTTTAAAATGAAAAATGAAGTTACTAGCGGGTTACTTTGTGGTAGTTGTTTTTAAAAAGTGTGCATTTAATCACTCTGCAGAACACCTGCAGATGGGTTAAATTTTTATGTATAATATTAGAGGCTGTTTTGTGAAATTCCAAGTTAAACTATGGTATTTTTTTAAAAAATTGTTGCGGCATCATCCTTGTTTTTGTGTGGAATGAAAGCCAGAAAGGGAAACACTGCTAAACTCTGTGCTGCATGCTGCTAAACTTGCTATGACGTCATGGCTGCATGTTGTTGTTGTTTTCAAATCCTTTTAGCTGCGAGCATTTCGCTCTTGGCAGCGCAATGCCTCCCTGTCATGGCTGCAGAACGTGATGCTGTTAATTAGACAAGCATCACAAATAATTGGGCTTAATTTCAGAACGGACATGTGTGCATATTTTTAAGCCATATTGGTATATCATTTTAAAAATGTGCACTATTAATGAATTGAGTTATCTGCGCATATAATTATCTTTATATTAAAATTGACATGGTGTTTCATGCTATCACTGGCAGTGGGCTTTCAATTTTTTCGACAGTGTGTTCTGATCTACTCTTTTGTCTGTTGTGTATGACAGTGGCAGATTAAGCAGGCTAATTGTGTGAAAGCCAAAGAGAATAGAAAGCACAATGGTTACAGCCAGCAGGTCAAATTGCAATTTTGAATATTCTCATGATTGCAATCTGTTCACTAGATCTACTTACTAAATTTTGGATGTTAGTTAAATTGCAGTGTGAAAGTATAAAATTAAAGTGGTCTTAATATCTTAATAAAGTGCTAAACCAAAATTTATGTTTGTATTTACAGATAAAAAATGGAAGTCTTGAAATTTATTTGAGGAAGTGCACAGGAAAAAGGCAAAATGTCCAAACGGCCAGCGGAGGATTCTGCCAGCTCCTCTGGAGCACCAGCGGCCAAGAAAATGGCAGTCCCCTACGACAGTCTCCAGCTGGGGAAAATTTACTCACTGGTATAGTTCACTTATAATGTCACTATCTTAAATTTCGGTGCTAAGTAATATGGGCTTTCTGTAATGTTTTAATGGACCATGCTTATAATTATTTCTTCTGGAAATTAATTGCTGTATTAAAAAGGTGAGTTTTCAGTGCGAGATGATTTTATAATAACACATTGTTACTTTGAAGTATATCCATCCATCTCCATCTTATTTTCTTTTTTATCTTTTTGAGGTTGGTATTTGTCTCATTTGTTATAAGTAAATTAAATGCATAGATTTCAGTCTTCCTGTACTTGTTGTAGGACAAAAAGTTCTGGAAAAAACATATAAAAGTTTTGTAAAATGGAAATTTATAATGAAACGTATTATTATTGCTACAGGTTTTAACTGATCTTGACATCTTGATAAAATCTGGATTCCACTGTGTTAAACCGTTACTTAATAGTGCTTTTGTTTCCCTGAATGCAGGAAGAGCTTGACCTGAAAGTGCTGGTGTTTCAAAACAAGAAACTGGCGGAACGAATTGAACAGCGTAAAAAGGCGGAGACAGAGCTGAGAAAACGTATAGAGCAGTTGGAAAACCGACAGCGCACTGATGATGCCGTCCTCATGATCGTCAACAGATACTGGAATCAGGTGGGTGCTGACAGGACCGTTCTGTCATATCGAAAGCTCTCTTTTCAAATTGAGTTAAAGAAAAAATTATCTCAAAGCCAAAAGTGCGGGTGGTTGGAGAACGCTATTAAGATAAGATAATACTTTGTAATCCCAGAGGGAATAATATTGTGTCTAATGTGCTTTTCTTTAGTCAAATAAAAGCCTGAACTTTGTACAGAGATAAAACATAGGTTCTGTAGAGGTTTAAGGATCAAGTTCTCTGGTGGTTGGAATGGGCTTTTTCTGAAATTATCTTGCTGAGTGGAATAAAATTTGCTTTAGCATGGTTTCCCATGAGAACTTGGTAAGAATTTCTCCGAGCTTCTCTGATGATCTGAATTTCTTGACAGTTGAGGATTGCTAGTTTCAAACTATCCTGTATGTTGTGACTTTGGTGCATTAAAAAAAAAACTTATTGAATAATAGTCATTTTCTTTCCTTTTCTTACTGTCAGCTGGATGAAGATGTGCGAGTGTTGCTGCAACGTTTTGATGCTGAGACCTCGGACGAGACAGAGACCAAAAGTATGTGACTCACTCTCTCCTGTTTCAATGCTTACATCATTGTTTCGATGACTTTAATTTTTCAATTTTTTGGTAATATTTAATTTACCTGTACTTATTGTATTTATCCTCTTTGGGATATAGTGTATGGTTTAGCTAGGCTGGAGATCTTATCCTCTGGATCGTTTTTTTTTTCTTTTGTACATTTCCTTTGACGTAAGTTCTTGCTGCCTGGAACAGGTTCGGATTTTAAACATCGGTGAGGAGAGGTTCATTTGGTTTGCTTTTGGTGTAACTCGAGCCACAAAAAATGTATTGATGTGATGTTATTGGCCACCAAAATATGGACTTTTTAAAAAGTCCTGTGACTGCTGTGAGCTGTGCGCTTGAAAATATGAGTAGCAAGACATGTCATCATTTTTGGTCAAGATGTGATTCATGAACTATCATTCAGGTACATATTGTGTAGGATCTCTTTAACCTGTGCAGCAATAGAGCAGTAGCCTGAAGTAGCTTCCTGAACAGCCTGTGTTGGCAACAGTAAAGACATGAAGATGCCATGCAGCAGAAGAGTATAACCCTTTTCTCCCTCCACTTGCAGTACCAGATCCTAGTGTGAATTGTTTCTGTGGGTTATTTCAGACGAGAGCAGCATTCGAACCCCTCCCTCCTCTCGTAATACTAGACCCTAGTTTAAATCATTTCTGTGGTTTATTTCAGCCCTAGTGTACATTGTTTCTGTAATTTTTTAAAGACGAGAGCAGCGATTTTTTTTCTCCCTTCTGCGAGCCCGTCCTTCCCATCACAGTGCTAGACCCTAGTTTAAATTGTTTCTGTGGTTTATTTCGGCCCTAGTGTACATTGTCTCTGTGGTTTCTTTCAGACGAGAGCAGCGAGCTGACCTCCTTCCTGACACTGCTGTCCACCTGGGACAAGCAGGAGCTGGAGGAGAAGCTGGGCCAGAGAGTCGAGTTCTCCAAGCGCGCCATCGGCAAGCTCCTGCAGGCCTTTGACCGCATGCTGCAGAGAAACGAGAAGTTGCACCATGCAATGGAGGACAAGGTGAGGTGGGGGGAGGGGAAATAGTAGGTTGTACTGTGCCGCGACTTATAGGAAATAAAACTTCCTCGAAGCATGAGGTCCCTATTCACACTTCTTTTCCTCATCCTTGCTATCGCAATTTTTTCCTTTACTTCTTTTGTATGTTTGTCACTCTTATGAACTGCTATTTCCGGGTGGCCTTGGTATTCGAAGAATACTTTGTGCTGTTGTGGCTAGAGAGGTGAGCAGAGTAAGTCTGATTCTCTGTAAGGACTTCTCTGTTGACATCCACCCCTTGGCGCTCGTATGACCTTTTGCAGTTGCGAGCACCGTAAAACCTTACTAAAACAAAACACTTTTCAGAAAGTCTTTTTGTTTTGAGTTTAGTAAAGTCAGGTGAAGTTATTTTCTTTTGTCTTTAGTATAGAGATTCATTAGAATGATCCTTTAGTCTAGTTTGAGAAAAAACAGATCATGTTTATTTTTTAGAAGAAAGACTGAACAGAGAGCCCACAGCCTGTTTTTGATTGAGAAAGTTGATTGAAACAAAGTTTAGCAAAACTTTTTTGATTTGTCTGGTGAATCCCAAAAGATTAATGATGATATTGTTGCTTTTTTGTCTTCATTTGTTAACTTGTGGGGGGGGGGGGGGGGTAAGATCTGATTGCATGCTTTGAGTATTTTGCTGCTAACTTTTTTTTCTGTATGTGTCATAAGTTCCTTTCTGTTAAAAATCTCCCGCTACTTTTATCTTTCGTTGAGTAAATATTTTTCTCTGTGGATTATGTTTTTCTATTTCTCACTTTGGTTTCCTTTTGTTTTCACCTGCAGGTGGAGCAAGAGAAAGAGTCTTTGCTGGAGGAGACACCGAAACCAGAAGAAGAGTCAAAAGAGGAAGAAAAGAAAGAAGAGGGTGAGTACCAGACGGAATTGTCTTGGGGGGGAGGGGGGGTGTTCTCACTGTCAAGGTTTCTCCATCAGTCTCAGGGACCAAACTCACATGGGTGACTTTGGTTGGGGGTTTCTTTTTTGTTTCCTTCTTTGGTTTGTTTGATTATGTCTGTATCTAAAATCTGAATTGGTGTCTGTTTTATTTGATTTTTTAAGTAATTAAAAGCTATTGTGTCAAGCTTTACACTGTGCCAGTTTTGCTATTTTACTTTAATTTACTTTTCTTTTTCATCCTCTGTTGCCGTCGTTAAGTGCCAAGGGGAGATGCAGTTTTCTATGGTAGGCCAGTTCTGCAGCTCTTTCAGTTAGGGTATTATAGTTTTTCAGGGGTTTACTACTTATGAAAATGAAAATGTTTATTTTTGGGGACTGTTTTTCTCCAGTCAATTGATGTCGTGGAAATGTTTTTCTCCGGTCAATTGATGTTGTGGAAAGGTATGTTTGTTATCCCGATGCTTTTTTGTTTGTTTTTGTGTACAGAGAGTGAGGAGAAGACCAGCAAGCCAGAGGAAGAATCAAGCGAGGAGAAGAAGGAGGAGGAGGCGACCGAGTCTGTGCCCGAGCCCAGCCTGAAGGACGTGGTCAAGGGGGAGCTGGCTGACCTGCGGCAGGAGACCAAACAGCTGCACAATCTGGTTACACAGCTACACCAGCGCCACCACGAGAACACCTTGCAGGTAAATAGCTACACTTTTGCCCCCCCCCGGCCGCATTATTCCTTGGTGTCCATATGTCATTGTCATTTCACACGCCCAGCTGTTTTGTTTGTGGGTGGTTGGCGGGTGCTCAGGTGTAGTTTACTCCTTCTTTCCTATTAATCATCTGTCGTCTTTGTTTCTCCTCTTTCTTTTTACTTATGCGACCTTATTGTCTTGCAAGAGCTGAAAAAACTCTTACTAAAACCCCAAAAATGTCATAAGTATGCTTATTGTTATTCTCTTTTAACACCTTTAATCTTCAGCACTTATATTACCTTATCATATGAAAGTGCCATCAAACACTTAATAAAACTAAAACTAAATCAATGTGAAGAACTAAATGTTTAAATAAGTTTTTAGTTTTAGTAAGCATTTTATTGCACTTGCAACACAATTAGGTCACATAAGTGCTAAAGATTAGAGGTGTTACAAGAGAATAACAATCACAGAAAAGAAGGAGGGGAGATAAAGACGATAGTTGTTTGATAGGAAAGAAGGAGCAAACCACACCAGAGCCCTTGCCAACCACCCACTTTAAATGAGTATTATTATGACATGGGGACAGCTTATTACATTGTCATTATAACTGTTTTAGGCCTATTTATGGAATTTGCCTCAGCTTAATTTTAAAGATAAGTATCTGTATGACATGGAGATGAATGTTTATATTAACGTCATTCCTGTTGTGTGCAGCTTTCTGAGCTTCAAGACAAACTGACAGCCTCTGAGACCGAGATTGCGGAGCTTAAGAACAAAGTGGATGACCTTGAGTACATGTACGAGAAGTCGGAGAACAAGTGCGACAGCACCGAGCGCCGACTGCAGGAGGTCACGGAGAAGCTGCAGTTCTACCAGGAGACCACGGGCAACCTCCCCATCTCAGGCTTGAAGAATGTGCCTGGCGTGCCCACGGGGCGGGTGAGTACTGGGTGTTGAGGAGATGAGTGGAGGAAGGGATTCTGAGGGTATAAGTGGGGACGTTTCGAAGTTGAGGTGGGTGGAAGGGAGGTCGTATATTATATATGTTGTTTGGCTCTGAGAAAAGTGGTCGGGAGGTGCACACGTTTTTAAAAAAAGTATTTCTTTCTTCATTCTGGTGGAAGTGCATGTTCAAGTTCGGTTTGGTCTAACTGGCTGAGAAAAATGAATCCCCCCCCCAGAGACTAACATCTAATGTGACCAAAACTGGCCAGTAAAAAATAACAGCACCAGTCTTGTTTCTCTCATGTGATTTCCTCAATGCTTAGCTTGGTGGTAGTAAAAATAAATTACTGCTGATCTTAAGTAGTGTCCTCATTTTCATTTCTAATGAGAAGAATGTGCCAGAGCAGAGATCTCAGGTCAGAATTTACTCTCACTATCTTATCGTGCTCAAGGACAAAAGAATGTGAATGCTTAAAGGTTACTAAAGAAGAATAAGGTTAACTCGTTGATCCCGGATTGCCACTTAATTGGCATTTTTGGGTACCGATTTTGTAATCCACAAAACCTACATCTGATCCTATGCTATTTTTATTGCCTATATCACCCATATTATTGTGATTCTCTGTCCAATTGTGAACAGTTTTAGTTCTAACACAAACAAATTTATTAATGACAGAAGTAAAGCCGTTTTAAGGGAACACCTTTAAAGTGGGTGCGTTAAATTGAGGAAATCCTTACGTACTGAAAGAGTTAACCCTATCCGTACGCCCTGGTGTCATTTTGTACCCCCGAGGTTGTATTCTTCACATTTTAGAATACTTCTAGTACGAAAATCTCTTTGAAACTTTCAGTATTTCTAAAAAAAAAAAAGAAATCATTTTGACAGACTGCTATGCAAAGCCTACGGATCGGGTTAATGAGTAAATTTCCTTTTGGAAAGTGGTGGCACAGAGTTCCCCAGGTGATATGATAGTAAAATTTGACGTACGGATAGGGTTAAAGGCGAGTCTATTTGTGTCTTCAGCTGGATGAGATCCTGTCGGAGCTGGAAGAACACAAGGAGCTGTCGGCCAACAGACTGATGGAGCTGGAGAAACTGAGCGGGGACTACCAGGAGACTCTCACAGAGGTGGAGAAGCTGAAAATGGATGTAAGTCGGGGATGTGTGGGAGTGGGGGTGGATGGAAGGATAGAAGGAAGGAAGGAAGTTGAGTTGGGTGGAAGAAAGGAAGGAAGGAAGTTGAGATGGGTGGAGAAAGGGAACCTGTGGAAGAAAGTGGGGGGGGGTGTGTTGAAGTTGAGGTGGAAGGAAGGAAGGAAGTTGAGATGGGTGGAAGAAGGGAGTCTGGGGATCAATTGGAAGTTGAGGTGGGGGTAAGGGAGGGAGTCTATGAATGTAGGTGGGGATGTTTTGAGTTGAGGGGAGATGGAAGGCACGAAGTCAAGATGGGTGGAGGAAGGGAGTCTTGGGATGTGTTGGAAGTTGAGATGGGTGGAAGGAAGGAAGGAATGGTGGAAGTTGTGATGAGTGGAGAAAGGGAACCTGTGGATGAAAGTGGGGGTATATTGGAAGTTGAGGGGAGGTGGAAGGAAGGAAGGAAGTCGAGATGGGTGGAA